GGAAGGCAGAGTCATGTGATCCTTCAAATGCTTCTATGTCTCTTGCCAACCCCAACACAATTGCTTCTATACAATTGTTTCCACATTCCTGATTCTTTTTCTGTCCACACCCTTTTATCTTCCATCTTTTTGATGATAGATACGATCGGGCTAGTATGACTGGTCATCATCTATTCTTTGTGACATACATAAATATGGAGTAAATCAGGAAAATAGTCTTGTGTGATCCAATGTAAACTTGGCTTTCACTCACTAGTACAGGGATGACTCGGCTCAGTGCAATTTTTTACCCAAAGAACCTTAGTGGCTCGGCTCAGTGCCTCGTTCTATTCCCTCGTGATGACTCTCCTTCTCATTATTCTTTCAGGGTAAAGATTCCCAATAGAACTGAAAATATTTTATTTTGGAAAGAGGATATCACTAATTTTGGATGGCTGGAATGTTAAAAAGTGGTGTACTTCAAGTTCATGGTTCCATTTGGCATGAGGCACCATGGATATAGGAAGTACTAAGTAAACCATTATACTTTTTTTTAGTAAACCACTGATGATTTTATTTTATGACAGAGATACAAGTATAATGAAAAATAAGAAAAGAAAGTGGATCGGGATTTTAATTTACATGCCAATATATTTTCCTGGAGAGTAACAAAGTTTACATACGAGAAGATCATAGCATCCAACCCAAATGTGGAGAGGACCAAGATCTTTTATACTACAATGCTCCGAATGTACTCTCAATGAGTTCAAAATTTCGATCATGATTTTGGACTAAAGTTTTTCAACATCCATCGTATCTTCGTTTGTCAGATTCATGAACTTTTTAACTTTATGCTCAGATCACAAGCCGCTTCAGGCTTACAGATTGCTTCCTCTCAACACAAGATGTAAGTCGACTCAGTGGATGATCAAGCATAGCCTCTTCCTCATCGTTACTCAGTGAGTTCTGAAATGAGGATGCTTATACATGAATGAATTTGGATCATAGTTTCTTTTCTTTAGTGCGCACTCATACACTTAAGCGGGAAGTGAGATGAAGGAAGGTGTCTTCACTGCAGGGGATTGTGATACCACCCATGGGATGATCATATCCAAATTCTTCTTCAGCTTGACTCAGCAAATCCAGGAACAAAGGCTCATTCAAATATGATATTGGAATCAAAAACCGCTTCTTTTGGCTCTCCCCAACATAGACTGCAAAATAGCCTTTTGGGATATCTAAGGTCTTCGAATCAGCTGTCTGACTTGAACTAGATAGAGATCGAATGAGACTTCTCTTGGCGTTAACAATTCCAGGCAACCGGAAACCCATGATTTAGTATTCTCAAGAGGACAAAACAACAAGAAAAAGATTGGCAAGGACTTGGAAAAAACAGAGAGAGCTTCGGTGCATGGGAAGGATAAGACTTGAGTTGCTCATGATGGAATCCAAGCATAGTATATATAAATATAGATGAAAGGTTTGCAGAAAATCATCAGGTACATGAAATGATTGGTACTGAAGGGGCACTGAGAGGAGAAGCAATGAGGGCCAATAGCTTGTACCCAAATCACATGGGCTTGTTTTCGTGCTCATGTAACCCTTCCGCAAGAGATTTCTCATGAAAATGATCAAACTCTATCCTTGTGTAGAAATAGGATTCCCTACCTAGCTAGCTCCTCTGGTTAACAGACAACAAAAGGGACCACCATGTTCTTGAAAAATGAATTCATTGAGTTGGATGCTCCTCTGGTTAATAGTACTGCATATGGTATGCCCTACAACAAAAACTTGTTAGCTTGTGTGATAAATTAGTAGTCTCTTTCTTTTTCATCTTTTTATAAATGCTGCTTCAAAAGACAAGAATTTGTGGTGCTATGAGAATTTACATGGACCCTCGGATCTCTATGGTTTGGTTGGTTGGGAGCATCAAACCACCCTTGCATGTGGCTTTGTCCTTTCAATTATGATCTTCAGGCTCAACAAGCAAGGAAAGTCTTTCATTTGTTTGAAGAATTGATACTTATTGAGAATGCAGTAGGTAATGAATACATATCTAAAAAGCATATGATATCAAGATTAATGTGGTCTAGAGAGTGCTAATCTGTAGCAAATGTAAATTGAAAAAGATGATAACCAACATAAGTTACTTCATCGAGGGTTGAAGGACTTAAATACTTTCTGTTGTAGAAGAACTTTATTTTATGGATTGTTTTGGATACAAACAAGAAATTTTTGTCCTTTTTCGCGGTTCTCTTTGTAGGCGCCAATAGAGTAAAACATACCAGTTAGTTGCAAGTGAAAGCCATATCGCTTATGCTTATGCTCAACATGAAATGAATTGTTGACATTATGATAGATTAATATTTTGCATATATAATCTATCTCTATTTTGCATTGTTTTCATGTGAAATTGGTTAGTTTAATGTTTAGTGAAGATTTTGTAGGCCTTCGTTCCTAGCAAGGCTCTGGAGCTAAAACTATGATTTTTGAAGCCTAAGGGACCAAAATGGATAGAATTATCAACTCAACAAAATCTCTGAAACTCATTCTGTCATTTTATCAAACACCTGGAGTGCATCTGTGCAAGTGTCAATTTATACCTGGAGTGCATCTGTGCAAGTGTCAATTTATACCCACAACTGGTCTCAGTGACCAGTGCCAGAGAGATTGAGTTAGAAGATTTACCTTTGCTGTGTTTCCTGCCGCTTGAAGAATAACCCGATGCCAATTGCTGATATGGAAGACAACGTGGTTTGCATCAGTTGAGCATTTTTTTTTGGGTGAAAACCAAGGTATCCCCCGCGCGATTGCGGGGATTAACCCTCGAGGTACTGTCAAGCGCAAAGCGGGGACCTCTCCCAACAAAGTCTGCTCTATTCGCAAGCGCCTGGGATCGAACCCAGGACCTCTGGTTGCTGAGACATTAGATGACAAAATAAAGAGATGGTCTGAAAGGAAAGAAAGCATTATGCATGAGATTGAAATATTGTCAACATTGAAAGCTAATTGACTTTGCAATTGTTGAGACAATTGCTGATCACCTAAGCTGCCACCGTCACTTGCTTTTGGAGAAAAGTGTGTTAATGGGCTGGTCTCCTTTGAATTGCAAAATGTTATCTAAGCCGCACTTTCCTTTGAACTGGAGATGTTAATTTCATGTCTCAGCCGCTTTCTTCTCACAAAGCCAACCAATTGCATCTTTTTACTTGAAGCCGCATTTTTTCTCTCCACAAAGTCAGATTCCTTATTTGACTTGGTTAAGTCCCAAGTCTCCTCAGCTGCCAGCTATCTCTGTTTTTCCTTTTCAGTTTGGGTTTTATTTTTGGACTTTCCTATTATTCATCTACTTCCTAATTAATTATTATTTTTTCTTTATCTTTGGAGAATTCCTTTGACCTATAAATACTTAGCCTTAACCTAAGGCTGGGGGAGGATTATTGGGAGACCATAGACTACAAAGGCACGAGAAAGAGTTTTAAAGAGAAGAAGAACAAGACCTGGAGCTAGAGTTGCTGATGTGCGGAGATTAAATCTTCAATTGGTTTTTTCTTTCCTATGACACTGTTTATCATGGTTTTTATCAAAGTTGTCATGAACTAATTTCTCCTGCTAGGGCTACATTACTTTAGTCAATGTTAATTCCAAGTATTTTTCCATGTTGAGTATCTATTACCATGCTTAATGCTTTTGAATGTTTGGCCAACATTTAATTGTTTTGATGCTAAATTGACGATAGGGATATCCAATTTAGGGTTGCTTCTTGTAATAGATGGCATGAGTTACATGATTAGACAAGGATGTTTGTCATGACTTATGTGGTTGTTTTGCAGATTTTCCAAGGAGTTTAATGGGTTCTTATTATCTTAATTCCATCACTAGGGATAGAGTGGGTTGGTAATAAGAATACTTTTGATATAACCAGGGATGGAGTATCGAATAAAGTAGGGAAAATCGACTGTCAACGTGGAGAATAATTAGGATTAACATGCTAAGGGAATTGGGTAGAATTGGCTATTGTGAAATCGGAAGCTCTAGTGCTCTCATAACTTGAATCTTACTACTTTATTTTTCTATGCTTGCTTTTATTCATTGTTTTAGTTAATTAATCAACCAAATCTCATCATTCAATTGTTCAAATAAAGTCTTGGGTTAATCACAATCGGTACTTAGTAAATTAAATCACTCTTCGTGGGAACGACACTTCACTTATCACTGTATTACTTGTGCGAATTGTGCGCTTGCAATAAATTCACAACACATTACAATTCGTGAAATCTATCTTGTTGAATCCAGCGATTTGTGATAAAAACGAAGACGATTATTGAACAACATGATTACCTAAAACCCAATTAGATTTTAGAAAAATACAGTAGATACATAAAACTTTACCTAACAAAGAAAGGTGTCAAATCTTTCAAAAACATTTTCTTACAACCAAGGGAAAAAATCCAAGATTGAATTGAAGAAAATGACTTTGTTTGGACCACTCTGTTGATGATCTTTTTGGGAGGGTCAACTTAGGTAAAGGAGTGCTAGACCTTCAGGAGGGGGAGAAGGTGACGAATCCTCAGTACGGGAAAACCCGGCAGATGGAAACAAGGAAGAAACATCAGTACGGGAAAACCCGGCGGATGGAAACAAGGAAGAAACAGTCGTCAAGCTTCGGACACCGGTGTGGTGCCTGCCGAAGGCTCTCCGATGCTTAAGTCAGCTATATGTGGTAATTTTGGCAGAGTAACGGTAAAGGTGAGAAAGTAGTTACCTTTTTTACTCGGGTACTGTTCCCTATTTATAGGGAAGTGAGAATGAGAGTATTACACAAAGTTTCGATGTGGGACTTTGTGCAAACTGTTGTGGAGGTGACACGTGTCTGTGGTTCTAGGTTCTGCAGTCGGGAGCTTCGACAGGTGGTTACCGCTTCCGAAGGGGGCCTTCCTTTGGTAGGCTAAGAAGGAGGTGATGTCACTCGTCTTCTAAGGGCGTGTCTGTGTGTCTATTTGGAGTGTTTCTTCCCTTTGACAGCTGGCGTGTCTGCCTAGGTATCTGTTGTCTAATGCCGAATACGCTTGGTTGATTACGATGTAAACAGTAGTCCCCCAAGTTGCCAATCAAGGAGTGGCTTCTGGTTTTGGGAACTTGTAGAATGTTATGTAATTAAACTGAGCGTTTTGGTATGACAGATGTCGTAGGCATAGTCCCCCAAGCTCTGAAGCTAGAAGGCACGTTTGTTGGGAAGGCGGTCTTCAAAAGGGCGTTCTTGTGATACCGGCACAGGGGAAGACAAAGGAAAGCCGCTGATTTTTTTATTTATTATTATTATTTTTTGGAATCATCTTTAGATTCGACATGGTAGGTGCCGAAGATAACAGTATGTTGTGCCAAAGGGTAATGTCTGCGAGAGTCGGGTGTGTCTGCGTGTTCGGCACAATGGGTGTCGAACGGTGATGTCAGCTGGTGGTCACGTGTCGCAAGAGTCCCCTTGCACGTTCAACATGGAGGGTGCCAAACAGAAGTTGTGACATTAGCATGCATGTTGCGTGAGTCCCCTTGCACGTTCGGCATGGAGGGTGTGACGTCAGCATGCGTGTCGCATGAGTCTCCTTGCACGTTTGGAATAGAGGGTGCCGAACGGAAGGTGTGACGTCGGGATGCGTGTCACGGAGTCCCCTTGCACGTTCAGCACGGGGGGTGCCGAACAGGAGGTGTGACGTCAACATGTGTCGCGTGAGTCCCCTTGCACGTTCGACACAGAAGGTGTGACGTCACTTCACGTGTCGCGTGAGTCCCCTTGGCCATTCGGTACAAGGCGTGCCGAACGGGAGGTGTGACGTCAGCATGCGTGTCGCGTGAGTCCCTTTGCAAGTTCGGCATGGAGGGTGCCGAACAAAAGGTGTGATGTCAGCATGCGTGCCGCATGAGTCCCCTTGCACGTTCGGCACGAAGGGTGTCGAACGGAAGGTGTGACTTCAACTTGCAAGTTGTGTGTCCTCTTTCACGTTCGGCACGGAAGGTGCCGAACAGAAGGTGTGACGTTACTACACGTGTCGCGTGAGTCCCCTTGCACGTTCGGCACGAAGTGTGCCAAACGGAAGGGTTGATGTCATCACGCTCGTCGCGTGGATCCAGACGAAGTGGAGAAGTGAGGACTTTGTGGAGCTTCGACAGGTGGTTACCGCTTCGGAAGGGGGCCTTCCTTTGGTAGGCTAAGAAGGAGGTGATGTCACTCGTCTTCTAAGGGCTTGTCCGTGTGTCTGTTTGGAGTGTTTCTTCCCTTTGGCAGCTGACATGTCTACCTAGGTATCAGTCGTCTAATGTCGAATACGCTTGGTTGATTATGGTGTAAACACACTCAAACCTTCTTTGCTAATTACTGAGTTAGCTAGTTTGTTAAAGTAGAGAAGTTACCTAGTATATCTCCAACAAAATAGTCATATTGTAAAGCCTGTTATGTAACTAAGGGAATTGTGGAGAGAATATAAAGAAAACAAGTAGCAATAGAAATGCACTTCATCTGCTTGTATTAAAGCTTACTCCGTATCCATTATTGTTGGTTTATGGGAAGAACAAAAGAGTGATTTTATTTATTCAACAATAGATGGGTACAAGGCTTTATAGAGGACTAGGCTCATTGGCCTTCAACAACTAGAAACTGTTTACTAGGCTTATTGACCTTTTCACTCTTTTGCTGGCTTATTAGCCTTTTCACTCTTGGCTTATTGCTTGGGACTGGACAGCTGTAGTTTTCAGCTTACTTCTTTGTTCAAGGCAACAAGC